AACACACAATCTCCCCTTCTCCTGGCCCGGTGAAGACTCCGTGCTCTCCCACCCCAGGATCTTTGCATATGCTATACCCCCTGCCCCGCACTCTGTTCATCTCCCTCAGGGAGGCCTTCCCTGTCCGCCCCCTCCCATGAGCAGCTGACCCTCAGAATTCAGCCTTCCCTTCCCCTCATAGCATCTGTCTCTGTCACCTGCATGACTATGTGGGTAATGTCACCTCTCCCACTGAACTGTGAGTTCCACAAGGCAGGGACACAGTCTGTCCTAGCCCCCACTGTGTCCCCAGCTCCACTCAGCACAGGGATGGGCCCGCTGCTTTCATTAATTCCAGGTGGGAGTGGCAAACAGAACCACAGCATTTGTGCCAAGTGAAGGTTAAAAAAAAAAATCCTACATTCATTCATTCCACAAATATCACACCAACTCTGTGTCATCACCGCTTGGGTTACCAGGGATTCAGCAGTGACCAAAACAGCCATTGGGGAGTCGAGGGGACGAGAAAACAGGCAGCAAAATAAAAACAAACATATAAGCAAATTAGACAGGCTATCCAAAGCTGACAACTATCATGGAGAAAAGTAGCACATGGAAGATTCAGTGCATGGGAAAGGGAGCAGGGGTTTCCGATTTTACACAGGATGGTGACAGAAGGAGACAGCGAGGGCTGAGCAAAACCAGAAGCGAGTGAAAGAGCCAGGTGGACACTAGGGAGGAACACTGCAGGCAGTGGCGGGGAACAGGGCTGAGGTGTACTCCAGGTGCCCTCAGGAGCTGGTGAAGGGGAGGGCCGGGAGAGGTAGCTAGAGAGGAAGCCAGGGACCGCTGGGCAGGGCCTCGGGGGCCACTGTCAGCACTGTGGCTCTTATTTGGAGTGAGAAGGGAACTGTCCGCCTGAGGCAAGCTGGGCGTGGGGGAGGGGTGGCAAGTGGAACCCCTTGTACACAGAGCAGGGCAGGACTCCTCAGGGAGGCAGACTTCCTCTCCAGGAGCTGTCCCCAGAATGAGCCCTGGGCACCGGCCTGATGGGCTCGCCACGCGCCTCACTTGAGAACCATGAGGACCTACATGCGGCAGATGAGAAAACCAAGGATGGCAGAAATTTGGTGAATACCCACATCGAGAGACGGCAGGGACACGGCCACGGAGCCCAGACCCCCGTCCTCCGAGCCCTGAGCTGCCTCCACCTCCCTCTGCCTTTGCTCCCAAGAGAAAGAGCCACCTCCCATCTTGTGTTGCCTCTTCCAACACCCGAGCCAGCCCTCTCTCACCGTCCCTGATATGCACACGTGCGTGGGACCCCTACAGTCGGGCTTCATGGGGCATCCCTGACCCGTGTCACTCTGCATCTCTACCACCTCCCTGGGAGCTCCGGGACAGGGCCGGGTGGCAGGAGGAGAAACCAGTGGGTCTACATCGTGACTAATACTCAGCAAGCACTCGCAAAGCGCCAGCTTGTGTTACTACCCCCATTCCTCACATGGGAAAACTGAGGCCCGGGGAGACAGAGTCACACACACCACAGTCACAGCCAGTGGGTGCAGCAGAGGGGCCACGACCAGAGCAGAACTGACCCACAAACCTTTCTGTGACAACAGAAATGTGGTTACTGAACATTTGAACGATGGCTAGTTCGAACGATAACTGAAGAACTGACTTTTTGCTTTCATTTGATTGCAATTAATTAAAATTTTAAAAGCTATACATGGCTAGTAGCTACCATTTTGGAGTGCAACTCTATGGAATCCCTGCTAACCAGCACTGAGAGTCTAAAGGCAGGAGGTGGGGGTGTGACTTTTGCACACTACAGCCCATCTCTCCCGTATCCCAGCGCAGGTTACCCGGGGAATTGGAGCAGGACTCAGGCCCAAATGCACACCTCTAGTCAACTCAAATACTGACTTTACCACTTCCAGGCTACACAGGTCACTTCTCTGAACCTCAGCTTCCGCATCTGTAGAACAGAATCTTTTATTTATTTATTTATTTTTTGAGGCAGAGTCTCGCTCTGTTGCCAGGCTGGAGTGAAGTGGCTCAATCTCTGCTCACTGTAACCTCCGCCTCCTGGATTCAAGTGATTCTCCTGCCTCAGCCTCCTGAGCAGGTGGGACTACACGCTTGTGCCACCATGCCCAGCTAATTTTTGTATTTTAGTAGAGACAGGGTTTCCCCACGTTTGCCAGGATGGTTTCCATCTCTTGACCTCGTGATCCGCCTGCCTCAGCCTCCCAAAGTGCTGGGATTACAGGCATGAGCCACACACCCGGCCTGTAGAATGGAATTGTAACACCAATCTGCCCAAGCCCACATTTATGTTATCTCAAAAGAATTTATGGCCGGGCGCGGTGGCTCAAGCCTGTAATCCCAGCACTTTGGGAGGCCGAGGCGGGTGGATCACGAGGTCAAGAGATCGAGGCGGGGTGGATCACGAGGTCAAGAGATCGAGACCATCCTGGTCAACATGGTGAAACCCTGTCTCTACTAAAAATACAAAAAACTAGCTGGGCGTGGTGGTGCATGCCTGTAATCCCAGCTACTCAGGAGGCTGAGGCAGGAGAATTGCCTGAACCCAGGAGGCGGAGGTTGCGGTGAGCCGAGATTGCACCATTGCACTCCAGCCTGGGTAACAAGAGTGAAACTCCGTCTCAAAAAAAAAAAAAAGAATTTTTGTAGGCCAGGTACAGTGACTCATGCCTGTAATCCCAGCACTTTGGGAGGCTGAGGCAGATGGATCACTTGAGCCCAAAAGTTCAAGATCAGCCTGAGCAAAATAGGGAGACCCCGTCTCTACTAAAATTCGTTTTTAAAGATTAGCCAGGTGTGATGGCCCATTCCTGCAGTCCCAGCTTCTCAGGAGGCTGAGATGGGACGATCACTAGAGCCCACGAGGTCGCGGCAGCAATAAGCCATGATGACGCCACTGCACTCCAGCCTGGGTGACAGAGTCAGACCCTGTCTCAAAAAATATGAAAAATTAAAAAAAGCTAAGTTTTCTGATAACCATCCGTTGTCCTGGGGACCCAATGAGATGGTCTCACACACAGCTGGTGACAGGGCCGGTGCTTGAAAAACAGATGCCAATTACCTAAAGAACTCTGAAGTCAGGGACTGTCCTGAGCCTGTAAGAGCCATAGAGTAGCAAGCTAATGTTACTGCTGTCACCAGTTGGTTCTAAAGAAATCATCCTATGTCCAAAATCCCCCTATTAACTTTCTGAAAATATCGTCTAAATGAAAACACATAGCTGAAAAAAGTCAATGCCCTGTAGACACCTCTGCCCACCTCCCAAGGCCTTTGAACACCAGTTTGAGAAGCTGGGCTGTAGGGGATCCTGTCTCCAAAGCAGAATACGGTCTGCTTTCTCCATCCCTGGCAGCACCTGAATCCAACCAGCTCTCTCCCACACAGGCCCCTCCCCACCCACCTGTGTCCCTCCTCTTTGGGGATAAAGCTCTGGCTCCCCACCCAGCCCAGGCCCTGAGCCCTGCCACCCTGCTCTCTCCCTCTCCTCCACTCCCCCGGCTCCAGTCACAGGGGCCTGCTGTTCCACCAGCACATCCAGATACTACCCTCCTAGCCCACCTCCTCGGGCTCTCTGTCATAGGGGCTCCTCAGCAGCCTTCCCAAGCCCCTCTCCCACCAGGTCCAGTTGATCTCCGTTCCCTCCTTCAGCCACAACAAGCACTCATAGGCAAATACAACTTCTCTGCCTCCCGAGACCCCATCCAGAACTACACGTGGCAGACAGTAGTGACTCAATCAGTATTTGTTGACAGACGGAATACACAAACGACCAAGAACAGCCATGGGCTGGCTCCTGAGGCTGTTTGGCAATCAGACCACACTGCAGGCAGCCGGGAGGGGATGCCTCCCACCCTCATCCCTTCCCCCTGGGCTCTGGGAAAAGGAAGGGCCAAGGTCGTGGTACTGGGGGTGGAGAGAAGCAGCCACACCCCACCTCCCGAGCAGGCAAGGAATGGAGTCATTTCTGGATGACTGAGGCCTACTTTGTGCCAGCTGTCTAGAAGAAGAGAAAGTGGGAAAGAAACTATGATGACCACAGCGACAACGCCAATCACAGCGGGCAGGGCAAGGAGACGAGGCAGTCTTCAAAAGGCAGCTTCACCGACAGAGCAGGGTTCAACTGTCCTGCCTATTACTGACCTCAGACAAATCCAATAACCTCCCTATACCTGTTTCCTGCCCGGTAAAATGGGGACAATTGTGACAGTGAGCTTCCAGGCTGTGGTGAGGGCGAATGAGAGCAGACACCTTAAACTGTGCAGCGGTTCCCAGCACAGAGAGGCGAACTACTCACGAGAACGACTGGACATTCTATGTGGCCTCCCGTGCCTCAGTTTCCTATCTACGAGATGGGGTGCTAACACTGCCCACCTCCAGGCTGCCGCGCAGGTGTGCTGAGCTAATGCGCAGTGTCTGGCTGGGCAGGAGTGCAGCAGTGGGAAAAATTCATATTCCTGTTCAGAACCCTCCCATCAGCTATCAGGCCCCACCACTCTCTCCCAAGGACGAGCCCGTGCCAGCTGCCCCACAGAGCCTCTTCTGTGCTCTCAGGTGCGTCAGTCCTGTCTGGCAATCCCCACGAGCAGCACTGGCCCAAATTCATCCCGTACCTCCTCAGAAGGCCTGCACTTTCCAACACAGCAGCTCCCGGCATCCCCCCACTGCCCCATTCAGCAGGAAGGTTCCCATTTACGGCTGAGCAAACTGCATGTTAGGGAGATGAAATCAAGCCCCAGGGTGCCACGGCCACCAAGAGGGAGTGCCAGGAGCAGGGTTCTCACCCACGTCAGCTGTCCCTGGGACCAGGTCACTCAGCAGCCCCAGCTGAGTAAGGGTACACCAATGACCCACCAGATCAGGAAGAACTCGAAGCCAGGCTGGAGAGGAGAACCGGGGAGCGGCAGCTGCCCCAGACCGTTCGGAAACGGCCCACAAGGGGGCAAACCAAGGAAGGCTTAGGTTTCTGGCCTCACCCTTAGAAACATCTGCGGACGAGCTTCTCCAGCAGGACAGCTGGGCTGGGGAAACTCCTGCAGAGACCTCTGACATCCATTGTCCTCTTGGCTGGCCCGGCTTGCTGTCTCTTGCTGGGCACACTCGGAGCACCCGGGCCCTGCTGTGGGTGCCGAGTTGGCAGTGGGTCCTGCCCCAAGGGGGCCAGGCTGCGCTCCCACCCAGCACCCCTCCCACACGCGCTCCCTCCCTCCTGGTCCCGCTCCCAGGCTGTCTCCCCTAGCTGGGCCTCTCGCTGCTTGGCTGGCTGTCCAGAAGAGCCTGCCATGGAACCACCCCACCGTGCGGCCCGGAGGCCTGTGGTCGAGGGCCTTCTGCTGAGAGCTCTGGGAAGCTGAAGAGAGGCCCAGGAAGGGGTGTTCCTGGGCCCTCCAAGGGCTTGGAGCTCAAGTCTGAAAGACATTCTTTTCCATCCCAACCCATCCCAGGGGGCTTCTGGAGACCCTAGAGGTTTGTTCTGAGGGGTTCTGCTCCTTCTAGGAAGATACCCTGGAACGCACCTCAAAAAACAAACGCCAGGGCACCTGCTCCTGCAAGATAAGTAAGACCAGCCTGAGCCACATAGTGAGTCTCCCAGCTCCACAAAAAAAATTTAAAAATGAAGATAAGCCTTAGGGATGAGCCCACGGGTGGGATCAGAAGTCACACGCACCAGGGGCTACCGAGCTGTGCTGGGGGAATCTCTGGAGGCCCAGATTCATAGCCTGTCCCCAACACTTCCTGGTTGGGGGACCCAGCACAAGCTAGAGGCTCTCCAGGCCTCACCACCGTAAAGCAGGAATCAAAGAAGAATCCTCCTGGGTCTAACGGGTCTTCACCCAGATCTTCCCATGGCTCCCTCACAGCACTCCATCAGTCCCTGCCCACAAGTCACCTTCTCAGGGAGGTCCTCCCTGATCACCCAGCTACAGTGGAGAAACAGGGCCACACTCTCACCTGGCCCTCATTTATTTTGCCTTCATAACATCAACCACACCTGATGCCCACCAGAGACACGTCTGCTGGGTGCCAGTCACAAGGCCTGGCCTTTCCAATTCCAGAAGAGCACCGGGAATGGTGCAGGCCTGCAGGCCCACAGCGGAGTGGAAGCAGGGTCAGCGGGTGCTGTCTGTATCAGATGTGGACTGCTGCTCTGCGTTGCTATTCAGTATTGGTCCAGTTGGTTGGGGTGGGGAGGGACGGGTAGAAAAATCGTCCCACTGAGCCTCCTCGCCTCTGTCCCTAAAAGTAACAGCCACGGGCTCTAGGGAACACGGTGTGAAAACCACAGAGAGGGAGGCAACCCTCGGGCCTTTGCTGGCTCCAAGGCAGTGATGCTACTTGAGGGGAAGTGGGAGGCCTGTGAAACACCCCGCTCGGCTCAGTCAAATCTCCCCACATCCCCAGGCAGGAGCCTGTGACTCTCTCGTGTGTCACCGGCTAACACGCTAAATCTGACCAGGCTGCTCCTCCTGCAACTCCAAGCTCCTTCTCAGACAGTCCACAAGGCTCCCAGTGACAGGCCCTACCAGGCCCACAGCCCTGGTCTGGTCTCCTCCCTGCTTCCTCACTCTGCCAAGCCACACAGGCCTCCGTGAGGCTTGTCCCTGCACCTCACCAAGCTCTGTCCTCCCTTCAGACCTTTGCACTGTGGTTCCCTCCACCTGGAGGGCTGTTCCTTCTCCTCCCACCCCACATGACTGCCTCACCTTGCCAAACTGGGATCAGCTCACAGGCCCTCCCGGAGGCCACCTGCATCTAAAGAAGCACCCAGTCGTCACCTGATTTGAATTCGCTGCCTAGCACCTCCCCTCTACCAGCTCCTTGCTTATTCACGTCTCAGGTGGGTGTCCCTCAGCCCCATGAGGATGGAGACTTTGACAAGTACACTGTTGCATTCCCAGTACTGATGCAATGCTGGCACATAGGAGGTGCTCAGTAAATGGTGGCGGATGAGTGAAACCTTTTCCTCAGTTCCACAATGCCCTCGGGATCAATCCTCACCACTCCCCCAGGCCCACAGGCCTGCAAAGCACAGCTACTGCTGACTCCTGCAGGCATTTCTGCTGCCCCCCTGCCCAGGCACAGCCTTCCCGCCACTCCCAGAGCTGTGGTGGACTGGGAACCAGGGGCAGTGGCATGCACCTGTAGACCCAGCTACTCAGGAGACTGAGGTAGGAGGATCGCTTGAGCCCAGGAGTTCAAGACCAGCCTCAGCAACATAGTGAGAAGCCTGTCTCCACAAAAAATTTAAAAATTAAATGGGTGTGGTGGTGTGCACCTGCTGTCCCAGCTACTCAAGAGGATGAGGTGGAAGGATCACCTGGGACTAGGAGGTCAAGCCTGCAGTGAGCTGTGATCACACCACTGCACTCCTGCCTGAGTGACAGAGTGACGCCCTGTTTCAAAAGCAAAAAAAAAAAAAAGCACAGAGCCTGACCTCTGAAAAGACTTGAATGTGTCTACCCAGGAGGGGCTCAGGCTGCAAAGCCACTGTGTACAAGAGGAGTGGGCCCAGGAGCTGCCCTCGTCAGTTCTGACTTGATTGCATGTCTCCCCCAACCTCTGTTTCTGCATCTGGAAAACTGAGATGCTAATTTGGGCCCTGATCTCCTCCTAGTGCTCTCTGACATGGTTCTGTGGACTCGCAAGGGCCTTCAAAGTCCTGGCAGAAATAGTAAGAATTACAGTTGCAAAGATATACCGATGGCTCACCATGTGTCGGACACTCTTCTTAGCGAGGAGACGTTTCTGGTAGGCTTACTGTATGCCAGCACAGTTATGAATGCTTCCCACAAACCAGTCCACTCAGCCTTCACAACAATCCTATCAGGTGAGAATTATCATCATCCCCATGACACTGATGATGGAATGAGCTCAGAAGGGTTGGGGAGCCTGCTCAAGGTCACACAACCATGGAGTGGCAGGGCTGCATTTGAACCCTGTGCTCTGACTCGCTTCCATGCAGCTCTTCACAGAGCTGGAAACCAGACATTAAAAGTGCTGGATCCTAGCTGGGCCAGGCTGGGGAGTTGGATCCCAGAACGCTCAAGGGGACCAAAGGTAGGAGGTGGGGGAGGCTGGATGCCTTGGTTCCATAACAACATAGTCATGACTGCCAACCGAGACTTACACAGTGCCAGGTACCATTCTAGGAGCTTCTCATGGATTAATTCACTGAATCCTCACGGCAGCCCGAGGTGGACATCCTTCGGGGACCACTGTATGGGAGTGAACATGGTGGTCCAAGGACACACAGCTAGAACCCACTTCGCCATCCGGCCACAGGCTAATGTAGCTCCCCGAAATCTGTGTCACCTGCTGCATGGCTCTCTTGCTGTCTTCTCCTGCTCCCAGCACACACCTGCCCAGGGTTAAAGGATGCCTGGACTCAACTCTGAGGAGGCACCAAGAAATGCTGGACTGGCTGTAGGCAGAGGTGCTCAGTGCAGCCCGAGGCTCAGGAGTGGAAGGAAAGACGTGGGACACAGTCACCTCGGTCCTATGCCCTTCCTTCCCTTCACCCAGCCTGGGACCTGGTGAGCAAGGAATACATGGCACGAGGGGCCCACTGACCTGGGTTCAAATCCCACCCCAGCCCCCACAGGGTCCGATAAGACCTAGGGGAAGGCAGCTTTTCCTCTGAACTTCCAATTTTGGATTCTGCAAAAAACGGACACAAACACCATATAAAGCCACACACACAGGGCTAGGCAGAGTATATGCTCACAGACAAAAGCCACTGCTCCAATTTCTCCTTGACAAGAGGAGCTGAGGCCAATCACACCTCTACCACTACAGCTATGAGACCTCAGGGCCATTTTTGCACTTCACAGCGAGTGAAATGATTCCTCGTCTGTAAAATGGTATCACAGTAGCTCATAGGTCTTCATAAAACAGGCCTAACCACAGGTGTGTTCTGAGACTTCAGTGAGGTCACATGTGCAAAAGGCCTGTCGCAGGCCTGGCATAGGGTGAATGCTGTAACACTGGGCATCCACTAGCTCTGGAAATGCTTTGCCTCTCTGAGCCGCTGTTTTCTCATCTCAAAGGGGGAGCATAACACCAGCGCCTACCGCTCTAGAATTCAAGTATTCAGCAAGTTTATCTATATGAAGCATTCCAAACAGTGTGTGGTCCACGGAATGCACAGTTACTATCAGCCAATTTCATGATTACTGTTTTCAGGCTGCTGTGAGCCCCATCAGGTAAACCCTCTAAAAGCTGGCAGAAGGAGAGGACCAAAGGAACAAACCCCTAATGAAGAAAAATTCTACAGAGCCCCCCACTGCCTTACAAACTGTGGGACCTCTCTCTCCAGGAACCACGAGGCATGGAAACCAGTCTGCTTGGAAGTCACCGCTGCTGACCAGGGGCAACCGTCTGCCCCCTTTGACCACATCACCAGCCCAGGTCTGCTGGGTCAATCAGGGACTGCAGCCAGTCCTCTGGGAACTCCAGGCCCAGAGCAAAGGCTACAGGGCAAGCCAAGGTCATGATCTGGCCTAGGGAGCAGGGACACTGGCCACAGACCTCTGGAGCTGGCTGCTCCCAGCACCAGCCCACAGCCCACAGCCCACAGTAAGACACCAGATCCATGGGAGACCTGACTGTCCCAAGCCCTTCACAGCAGTCTTCCTCCCTTGGCCAGGCTGGGGCAGGCTGGGGCAGGTTGGGCCAGGGGCACCCCCCTCCAAGTCCCCTTGGCCTATGGAAAGAGGAACAGCTGGCAAAACAGCTTTCGGCCTCACTGCAAGGCCAACTGTTATTGCCTTGGTGGGGAGCGTAAGCACGATGTATGACTGAGCTGGTAACCCGGAGACACAAACAGCTTCGTGGCCAGCGATGGAGGAGCATGCAGTGGTCTGTGTTGGTTCCTGGACCCTTCACACCCACTGCCAACCAAGGTCAGCCCCCGACTGAACTCCTGCTGCTTCTCTGGGAAGGGAGGAGTAGATGAGGTTGAAAAGCAGCCCATTGGAGGCCCTAGTTACCCCAGCCCACGAGTCTTGCTGAGCCCCAGTAGGTCTCCAAAGGAGAGGAAAACGTCCTCACAATCCTAAGATCAAGATGCCCCTAGAAAACTTGCCCCGGGGGGAAGAGGTGTTCCCCCAAACACTGCTTCCTCCCAAGTCTTAACAAGCTGGTCCAGGGGCACGGCTCCTCAAATCCAAGCCCAATCCCTCTTCCTCTTCCAAATGCGGAGCCTAAAGCTCAGACAACTTCAGTGACTTCTAACACATCTTTCCTCCCTCCATCATGGAAGGAAAGAACTGTTACTGCCTGGTGAATAATCTGAGAGGGTAATGGAATCAGAGCACTCCATGGTCCAGAGCACCCCAGTCACCATGCCGTTCTCGCCAAAGTCATTAAGTTCAATGAAGGCCGAGTTCAGGGTAAACCCCCAACCCCACACACGTCAAATACAGAAGGCAGAAACCCCTCCTCAGCACTAGGCATAACAGTCCTCCCAAAACGCGCCCCTAAAACCCACGCGCCCCTGTCCCACCCTCTCCCAGTCCCTCAAAGATGACAAACGTTACAGCCCTCTGATTTGGGCTCCCCTACGTTCTAAGCAGGGCTCCCCCAGCGCTGCGGTGATATAACCCAACCACTCGGTACAGCCGCCTCCGCAGAAGCCCCCACCCCCGTGAATACAGTACAGAAACGGCTTCCACAGCGCCAAAAAGGTACAGCCCTCTACACTTGATGCGGCGCGCCCCCTTGATGGTTTAGCCCGCGCACGCCAGGCACCATCTCCCCGCCGCGGCCCGCGGGTCCTGCCCCCGGCCCGCGCACGCTGGGGCCTGCACTCCCGGCCCCGCACACTCGCGGCGCTCCCCCCGCCGCCTCAGTGGTACGGTCCGCCGCCACCGCCCCCGTTCCCCCTGAGGCTAGTCCCACCGCCCCCGCTCGGCCACCCCAACTCAGCTCCGGAAGGGGGGGCTCGAGGGCCGCGGTTCCCCCGGCGGGCACGGTGGTACAGCCCATCGCGGCACCGCGGGGGGCCCGGACGCGACCATCGCGGAGGGGGGAGAGCTCCGCGACACGCGCTGGCGCACTCACCTGTCACCGGCGGCCGCCCAGCCTCTCCGGCGGGGCTCTACCCCCGCCCATCGCCACGCTGCGCTGGTTCCCGTTCCTTGTGTTTCCCGGCGGTGGCTACGAAGGCAGCGGCGGCGGCGACGCCTCCTCCGAGCCAGGTCCAACAGATCGCTCAGCGCGTCCCCCCCGCCCCCTCCCCCCAGTCCCCGCTTACCGCCCCCTCCCACCCTTGGCGGAAATACCGCCCTTTCGCGCCACAAACAGGAAGTGACGTACAAAGCACCGGAGACGGACTCGGAGACAGCGAGAGCGCAAGCGCAGGGCAGGGAAGGAGGCGGGTTCACAGCAGGACGCCTGCGCACATTAGACAACTTTGGGCCAGTGTGGGTTAGACATGGGCCCGGCTAAGGCGTGAGGCGGAAGGCGAGATGGGGCTGCGCAGGCGCACTTGGACTCCGACGCCGGCTTTCCCTAGGGACTCGCGGCCGCGATTATTTCCCGGCCGCCGCTGGCTGTATTTACATACACCTTGGTCTTGTTTGACTCGGGGTTCTGAGGCTCTTAAAGGACTCCAGAGCAGGAGTTAGGAGGGGTTTCCTTTTCAGTGTGCTCGTCATGGTTGAACTCAGGCTCTGAAGCCACGCAACCCCAGATTTGAATGTCCTCCTTTCTGGTGACTGTAGGCAGAAGTCTTGACCGTTTTCTGTGCCTCAGTATCCACATCTGCTAAATGGAAACATCATCGCTGTGTCGCTGGCTTTTGAACTCTTTTTTTTTTTTTTTTTTTTTGACGGAGTTTCGCTCTTGTTACCCAGGCTGGAGTGCAATGGCGCGATCTCGGCTCACCGCAACCTCCGCCTCCTGGGCTCAGGCAATTCTCCTGCCTCAGCCTCCTAAGTAGCTGGGATTACAGGCACGCGCCACCACGCCCAGCTAGTTTTTGTATTTTTAGTAGAGACGGGGTTTCACCATGTTGACCAGGATGGTCTCGGTCTCTCGACCTCGTGATCCACCCGCATCGGCCTCCCAAAGTGCTGGGATTACAGGCTTGAGCCACCGCGCCCGGCCAAGCTTTTGAACTCTTAATGTAAACAAAACGGTTTTTACCAATTAGTTCGTGACTGCAAAATAATAATGCCACCTGCTCTCGTACATATATTCCAGTGAATCTGGGATATAACATTTTATACTGTAACT